TGCCTGCTCCCTTCGCGCCGCGGCTGGGGAGCTTGCGAACGTGTGGGCTGGCGGGGTCGTTTGGGGGTTGTGAGTGGTTCGGCTGCTCAGTTTTTTTCTTCTCTGCCCTTTGACTCATCCGTTCTTGCAACTTTTCTTTCCTCCCTCGATGGGGACTTGCTGTCTGAACCGCGTCTGTCCCCTTCCCCCTCGTCGTATGCACCATCCGTCTGGGAGCTTGATTTCATTTTTTCCTCCTTTGGCTGCGTTCAAGATTGCTGAGAGCACCGGGAGCGACCCTCCTACCCCGCCTGCCTCTGGCCTGTTAAATGTTACTTTTTGCAATTCGTTGTTTTTTAAAGATCCAAGTTCAGGAATTTGAGAGCTGTGGAATGGAGTTATTGGAAGGCTGGCGTTGAGGGGGTAGTGATGAGCTAGAGGAAAACTATGATTTCATCTTTATTGGCCTTGCTATAGAAAACCTAATTCATTTTTTTTTCTGCCTCTATTGAGTGTGGTAAGATCATACGTTGAATTAAATACTTAGAGACTTACATAAAAGACTATTTTTAGGTCATTGGATGATGTACGAGAACAGCTTTTCACCTGAACTGGGATTGCCTTGAGGATTCTGTTTTGGGGCCTACCTACTGATTTTTGTTCAGCCACAGCGTCGTCTTTTCCCGATAAATGAAGTGATGTAGTGATGTGTGTAGTCAGAGAACCCATACTGCTCTCTGCAGTATGGAAGTGAAAAACGTGAATTATCCACAGGGGTAAAACTTTCCATGAGCAATCTTGGATACTCACTTCATGATGGCTTCTCCCGTAATCTCAGAGCATTTCTAGATAGCTCAATTCACTGGCTACCCTAATTACTTTCTGACTTGCCTGGGACTTCTCTTTGGTGACTTGGTTAGTAAACTATAATGGCAGATATGGTACATTTTCTTGGCTTCAAAGTTGAGGGTTATAGCCTCAGCCCAGAGATGAACAATGGAAGTAGAATTCATAGCACTGCTAGTGAATTTTGGATATGACCAACTCACAAACTATGTGAAAAAACAAACATCCCCTTTTCATTGCTGTCAGGGAGGAAAGGGGGAATATTTTATTATGTCTTTGTTTTGGATTCTCTAACATGACTGTATTATGTGGGAAAAATGTCAAATTATTTTCTTTAAGGCTTTTTAATGTGTGTTCCTTCTCTTCCCTCACTACCCCCTACTCCCGCCCCAACTTAGGGGCTAAAATTTATGTGTGGCTGTATTCTAGGGTTGGAAGAGAAGTGTTTTGGTGAAAGAAAAATATAAGATCACTTTGAACTATTATGATACCTCAACTATTCGTTTTATCCAGTTGATAGTACACAGAAACTTTCACAATAATATTTGTAGCCTGTTAACGTTCAAAATTCATTTTTAAGAGTCTACCCTGAAGGCCCATTAAGAAATAATGCCACTTCATAACTGTTTCCCGACAATCACGTTAAAAAATGTGTTCCTGGAATGCATTATATGTGTACTCATATAAACATTTATCTTTGTACATTTATGGTAATGTAAATATTTAAGCCTGAGAGCTTAAAAACTTTTATTTGCTTATTTGCATACATGTTTTTCAACATCTAACAGTGCCAACCATATTTGCCAAATAAGCATCAGCAATAAATTCATGCTTTGGCACATTTCATGTAATAACTCTTCTAAATTGTTCCGTGGTGAAGCATCATGAGATTAGCATTTGCTTCATGAGAGAGATTTGTTGTTCTTTTTAACTGTGCTGATGTGCTGTTTAAGTGGAACAGGTGCTGGGCCCTAGCCATTTGTGTTGATACCTGCCAAATCATACCCTTTTGTTGGATGGGTTGTTTAAGTAATTTAGGAACCAAACTGTGGCCCCTGGCATGCCAAGTGTGAGTACAAGGCTCCATATCAGTGTTGCAAATCGCTGTTTTCACTGTAAGAGGCAGATGTGTATGATGAGCATTGTTCTGTCATTTGCTCATCTCTTTACTGTGATTCCTACAATCTTCCCCACCCCCCGCACCCCCCACCCCACTTTCCTTCCCAGTCATTTCATTACTGAAACTCCTGGTACAGTCTAGGTTCCCTCAAGGCTGATTTGTTTTCCTTCGTGAATTGTAAATTCTAGGGTTAGGATAGTTTACATTTGTTTGACAAATGTTTGAGTACCTTTTAAGTGCCAGGCATGGTGGTAGGTAGTACCTGAGTATTATAGAATATGATATTCCTTTTTGCAAGGAGGTTACAGTTGAGGAGGAAAAGATAGGTGATAACCAATAATTATAGTATGACAGGGCTGTGCACACATTCCTATGGATGGAAGCACAGAGGAAGGGTAGCTGACTCAGACTTGGGGGGATGGGGGGAGGGTGTCTAGAATGCATCTTAGAGTGTTACCTGGGCTAATCTTCAATAATAGGTAAAAGTTAACTAGGTCCAGAAAGAGGGAAAGTACATCTTATACCAGTGCTGTCCTATAGAAGTTAAATACAAGCCACAAATATAAGTCACATATACAACTTAAAATTTTTTAGTAACCACATTTTGAAAAGTAAAAAGTGAAATTAATTTTAATAATATAAACTCAGTATATCCAAAATATCATTTCAACATGCATTCAGTATAAAAAGTAATATTGAAGTATGACTTTTCCATTTTCATACTGTCCTCAGAATCCCGTGCATAATTTTCTACTGTCTTCAGAATCTGGTATGTAATTTACACTTATAGCACATCTCAATTTGGACAACTACAGTCACATACTCAATGACTGCAGGTGAGTGGACAGCAATAACACAGCTTTAGAACAGGGGTGGATGAAGTAATAAACCAAATCAATGATTGTCTTGTGAACCAAGTTAAGGAACTTTAACTTAATTCTGAAGTTTGTGGGGATTTAGTGGGGAAAAAATTAAGCTATGCTGTGGTAGAATCAGATTTGTATTTTAGACTCGTCATTTTGACAGTAAAGTGAATATTGAATAAGAAACAAAACTGGAAGCAAGGACCAGTTAGGAAGCTATTCCTGGCGAGAAATGATGAAGAGTGTAGAAGAGGGAGTGGCTCTATGAGAGATTCAGGAAGTATTATTAACGGGACAGGAAAAATATATTTAGATTATAGAATTGAGCAAGACTGAAGATTTTGGATGATTCCTACATTTCTGTTGTGATCTGCTGAGTAGATTGGGCAAGCAGCGGAAGAGAAGCCAACCATCTGTGCCAGACAGACCAAAGATGAAAAAAGGACATAGAGATTTGTCATGAAAGCTGAGGGAGAATATTATTTCAAGGACTAGGAGTGGTCAACACTGTATCCTGCCTCCAAAAGGAAAAGTAAGATAAAGACTGAATAAAGTCTCTGAGACTTGATGATTAGGATGTCTTTTGTAACTTCAGCTAGAGCACTTAGCTACATTGTAATGCATGGGGGTGGGTGTTGAAAAGTGAATAACAACTGTAAGTGTAGCTAATTGAGAGGGATACAATGTTTTCAACAAAGGACTCTGACGGAGTCTGTAAGTAGGGGGAGATGCTTGAGATTTAGAGAAGTTTGCCTTTTTTACAAATGGAATCTTGGACATGCTTAATACGAGCCTGGAAAGAGCCAGTGGAGAGGAGAAACTGAAGAAGAGTGTATATGTGTGTGTTTGATGGGCGTGGGAAACTGGCTGGTGGATGGAGGCAAGGATTTGGAGGTAATAGGGAATGGGATCCAGGGCGTAGGTAGAGAAGTTGGCCTTAAATAGAAGGTAGTCTCACTTTTCCAGTGAGCAGAAAGGAAGGAGATGGATGGCAGTGTAAATA